AAGCATGTTTGCCTAATAAAAGTATTTACATGCCTTGCACTTATACGTACTTAGCGTTTTTGCTAATCTGTTTTCCTTTTTGTTTTGGTTCGCCCTGTTTACCATTTTGGTAAGCAGTCTTGATTTCAGGTGTGAAGTTGTTCGTACGCATACTAGAGTCGGGATTGGGATCACATAGATAGGAATTAATTTTATTTATGTATGGGCAAGTTTTTATTGGTTTATTTTGAAACAGCTATTATGGTTATTCATATTATTAATAAAAGTTAGTTATTTTTCCGCTGCAATTTGAGTAATTAATTAAGCCTTACGTTTTCACGTGGCGGTAATACGCCCAAGTCTATCTCTACGGTATTTGTATACCTATAAATATAGTATTTACGTAGAGGAAGATTTGGGGGTGTTATAATACCTATCATTTTTTGTTTACTTTATGTTAATATTGACAAGTGTGTCGTATCGTGTACTTATTTGTATACGAAATTAAACAAGCTGAAAAATTTGAACAGTATCATAACCCATTTAGGCCTGTCATTTGGGTCAACGAGTAGAGTTCGGGTTAGAATTTGAGTCGCTTTTAAAAAAAAATATTTATCTCTTATAGTATAAAAACTTAATATTATCACAAAAAATATGAAACTGGTTGTATTATGTTGATTTTGAGTCATTTGGATTTCTCTCATTAACTTCGAATTGAATTTAAGTCGGATTCAGGTTGGTTAGGAATTGACAACTCTAAACCTACCTATTTAATAATGTGTCGTATTGTAGGTTTTGTCTGTTTAATTAAAAATATATGAAACACTAATGGAATGAACAAATGTAAAATTTATTGTTTGTAATACAGTCGTTCCCTCTAGGTTTTCTCCTTGAGAGGGTTTTTTTGGTTCCTTCTAGGGGTTTTTTTTTTCCCTTGGGAAGGTTTTCCTAGCCTCCATTGCTAGGTTTTTTTCAATTTCTTTGAAGGTTTTCCTTATCTCTTCTCCCTTTTTCTCTCCATCTCTACCATCTCTTTTCCTCTTGGTCTCAATTGTGAATTTTTGTAGGGGATTCCACTGGTATTTTTATCAGCCCCAAAAAACCTTTCAATTGATTTCAATAAAAAGATCTCATCCTTGTGATGATGATTTTTGTCTTGAGTTTATTTTCGTTTTGTGTTTGTTTTGTAAAAATTGAAGATCTAGGGTTTCATAATCTCTACAAGAATCCGGATGACCACATGAATATTTTCACTCAGACGACTACGCATCAGTGGATTCAAGTCGAATCAGTGCGAACTCACAGATTGTATTGCTTCAGATGAAGTTTTTTTATTAAGGCGATTGTTAATCAAATCTACGATGTATTTAGTTTTAAGGTGTGTACTAATGTTGCAATTCTTGATTTTCTAGGAATTATATGTAAGTGTTTTGACTATATTTTATTAATGAAATCCCTTTTCTTCTTGTCAAAAAAAAGAACAAATGTATTAATAGTAACAAGTCCAATGCTATAAAATACTTGTATCTATTTTTTGTTAGAACTCTTAGAAGATATCAAAACCTACATCAGTTACTGGAGGGGTGTAGTTTTTTTTTTTTTTTTTTTTTGGTTTAATTAGGATGAAAAATCACACAATATAAAATAATCTATTAACTATTATTAAAACAAAACGTGCTAATGTCATCAATTTCTTAAAGTGTCTTACTAAAAGTATGATGTCATCAATTTATTTTTAATTTTTTAGCCCTTTTCCTTTTACTTGCTAGAATTTAGGATTAAGTAGGTTTAAAATTAAATATAGGAAACTTGACTTTATTGGCATCAATGTTGTTGTATACTCCTTACTACTTTTGAATCTTTTTCAATATACAACAATATTAGATTTTGATAGCTAATTATATGCCTATTTTTAGCTTCCACTCTAAACATATAAGCACAATAGACATGAAACATTAAATAAAATTTGTCTAACCATCATTTAGTAAATTTTACATAACATCATAGTAATTATTATATTGCAACATTAAATAATAAACATTTTTAAAGGGCTATGTACATGTTTTTTTATTATTATTATTAATATACCAATTTTTTTTTTAATTTTTTTTATAAAAAAAAAGCCAAGTTATTTTAAAATCATATTAAGTATTAACAACAAAATATATAAAAAAAATATGGAAAAATTACTTATCACCACCGTGCAATGTGCGGTACTATACTAGCAAATTAGTAATGTATTAAAAAACTAATCACTTTTGCAATTGTATGTTTTAAAACATTTAAACATACACATATTTTAATAAATCTGAACAACTATTTTTTTTAAAAAAAAAATCATGACTTTATTAAAATAAAAAATGTCAAAAATATCAAGAGAAATTATTATATTCAAGATAATAAAAAATAATTAAATGTATGAAATTATAAGAAAGTATAAAAGAGATTGTATTGTTAGTGTCTTTATATGTTTTATCTCGAGTGCATATAAGCGCATAACACCTATCAGCTAAGCATGCAAATAAGAGGGTATTGTGGGGTTTTTATTTATTTATTTTTATTTATAATTTTTTTTCAATAGTGGTATATTTTTGTGTACTACTCCGTATTATGCATGTATAATGTTCCATTAAAGTATAAGTTGTCTTAATACTCCCTCCGTTTTTAAATACTTGCTCCACTTTCCTTTTCCGTCCGTTTTTAAATACTTGTTCCATTTCCTTTTTTGAAAAGCATTTACAATATTTAATTCATTACTCACACTTAGTGGAGCCAACATAATACTCTCTCTCCTCCTATTCTTCCACTAATTTTGTTTTTTTACAAATTTTTTATTTTCTCAACTATCCCACTACCTCCATATTTTATTACTTTTTCCAAATTCTCCTAAAACTCTGCGCATGGAGAAATGGAGCAAGTATTTAAAAACGGAGGGAGTAATATTTTTTTGTGTACTATTATGCATGTAGTGGTACTTTTTGTCATCCTATATCGTTGATTATTTTCTCCTAAAATATGTATCACATGTCACCAATTAGTAGTGATACATTTTGTCATCCTATTTGTTTCTAAAACATACAGGCGCTATGCGCCAATACTTATTCCTTTATCTCATCAAGGAAATAGTAATGTTATGATAATTGGTAAATAAGGAGTATAAAATATTTGCTACCAATATTATTTATCACATATAATCTTTGACAGTGGTTTCTGGTGCGGCTGGCCGCACCATGAGGCAAGTTGTCAAATCAGCAAATGACAAAGTAACCACCAGACAAAGTAACTACCAACCTGGCAATCCTGACCCGACCCGATTAACCCGACCCGAATAACCCGACCCGTAACCTGAAATTGATCTGAAATCATTGACCCGAAAATGACCCGAACTCGAACTAACCCGACCCGACTTGAACCCGACCCGAAATGGAGTTGACCCGAACATGACCCGATGACCCGAAGTGACCCGACTCGAATGACCTAACCCGAAATTGACCCAAAACCTAAACTTGACCCGACCCGAAATGACCCGAAACAATTTTAACCCGAATTGATTGACCTGAATCAACCCGACCCGAATTGACCCGAATAATAAGAGAATAGGATGAAATGGTTAATTACTTGTTTTAAGGCTTCTTTATTTTCTAAGTAATAGGTACTCACAATTTTATTTATTTATTTTTTTAACGATTTTACTTTATTTTCCAACTATTTTTTTTAAGTGAATTTATTTTGGTGACCCAACACAAACTTGACCCGAATAGACCCGACCCGAGTTGACTCGACCGAAATTGACCCGACTCGAAAATTGAACTGAAAATTGATCCTAAATAATGACCCGACCCGAAAAGACTCGACCCGAATTGACCCGACCCGAACTTAACCCGACCCGAACTTGACCTAACCCGAACTTGACCTGAAGTGCTGACCTAAATTTGACCCGAAACCCGATTCGACCCGACTCGACCCGAACCTGACCCGAACATTTGATGACCCGAACTTGACCCGACCTGAATTGACCCGACCCGAACTCGACCCGAATGACCTGTTTGCCAGGTCTCCCCAAGAGAAAAGTAACTCCTGACTGACCTAGTAACCCATGACCTAGTAACCCCTAACCGACCTGGTAACCCCCGACCTAGTAACCCCCGACCTAGTAACCTCTAGTAACCCCAAGTAACCCCCGACCTAGTAACCCCCGACCTATTAACCCCAAGTAACCCCTGGCCGCCGACCTAGTAACCCGAAGTAACCCCTAACCAACCTAGTAACCCCTGACCTAGTAACCCCAAGTAACCCCTGACCGCCGACCTAGTAACCCCTAACCGGACCACCTAGTAACCCCTAAACGGCTCTAGTAACCCCTTACCCACCACCAACAACCACCACCAATGAACCACTACCAACCTAAACGCCTTGCCACTAGCCCCTAACCTACAAACAAACCATTAAAAAAAAATCAAATCAAACAAATATCTTAAAATGTTAACAAGAGTTTCGAATATCACTTCAAATATGGCTAAAAAGGCCAAATTCGACCATGAAAATTCTAGATCTAGAGTTTTCATAGCTGCATTTGGCCTTAAAAACTTTGAACTTGTTTTCCGACTACGTGGTCACCAAACCACCACTACCCTCCCAGTGAAACCACTACTTCCAACGAACGAACCATGAAGACGACTATTGATGACGATTGCGAAATTTGTGTTACGTTCTCTGAGAAAATGAGATAAAGCTTATGGCTTGAAGAAGAAGAAAAGAGGAGAGAGAAAGAGAATAGAGAGGAGAGAGAAAGAATTAAAAAAAAATTGTGGTTGGCCACACGGTGTGGCCAGCCACATATGAAACTTTGTAAATCTTTGATTTAGTTAATATATTTGGGTGGAAAATACGGGAAAATTTTAATCATAGAGCGACATGTGTCAAAATATAATTCGAGTGCGTTTGTTTTTTTTTTTTTTTGACAAGACGAACTAAGAAAGAAAGAAAGAAAAAAACAAAGAAACAAAACTAAAACTAGAAACCTAAAAAGACCACAGTAATAACCGACGCTGACGAGCCTGAAGAGCCAACCAATGAGCCGGAGCAACCCACCGCCGAGGGACTTTCCGAATAGCACAGGAATTAAAACCACCAAGCAGATTCCTTATTTCCTGAAGTAGCCAAATACAAGAAATATCCCAATTGTCTTTAGCACGAAGATAAGTGACCAAGTTTGAACAATCAGTGTAAAGAACCAGCTTATCAAACCCACGATGAGAAACAACTTTAAGAGCCCAAAGACAAGTCTGCAATTCAGAATGAAGCGCCGAAGACGCAAGAAAAGCCCTCGCCCCTCCGCCAATAACCCTATCTGAGTCCAAGTGCCGAAAGATCCAACCAGCCCAAGCTGAAAAGTCCCGAGAATCAAAAGCTCCGTCAAACACCAAGCAAAGAGCATCAAAAGACAAAGAATCCCCGTGAAGATAACTAAGCGAAGAAGTAGACGTAGACCCACATCTAGGACCCGAAAAAATTCTGGAAGCATGGAAGGAACCCCTGAAATCCTGAGCCGCAGAACTACGAGTGACCCAGTCTTGCATAAAATGAAGAACAAGAGCTGGAGAAATAACAGCCTGACGAAACACCTTATGATTGCGCGCAATCCAAATGGACCAAAAGAAGGAAAACAAGCTAACCAATGTTTCCCAAGACTTAGAATGACGCAAATTTGTCACCAATTCCATGACCCAAATGGAAAAGGGGTAATCCCGACAAACAATAAGTGACGAAATATTGGGAGCAGTGGACCAAAGATTAGAGATAAAGGGACAGTCTAGGAAAAGATGATCTTGAGTCTCTTGATCTTGCAAACAGAAAACACAAGTGGAGTCAACAGGAATCCCCCGAAGCCGCAAGATACTACCCAGAGGCAAAGCATTGTGAAGTAACTTCCAACCGAAACAATGCAACTTAGGTAGAAGGGGTAAACCCCAATACTTCTGCCACCAAGAAGACGGGATGTCAGAAGAGCCATGTGAAACGGTAAGACGCCCAAGCAGCATGGCATAAGCCGATTTAGTGGAAAAAGTCCCATCTTTCGAGTAGTTCCAATAAACAAAGTCGTCCATCGGCCTACTCGGTCGTTCCTGAGCCAAGATACGATGAGCTGTAGACGAGTCGAATAACTGATGAACCAAAGAGGTATCCCACGCATAAGAACGCAGATTAATGATAGAAGAAACGTGAGACGGAAAAGGCGTCTCACAATTATCACGAAACAAAACGGGCTCTCCTGGAACCCAAGAGTCTTGAAGAATGCGAACTTGAGTTCCCGAACCAACCTTCCAGGCAACCCCTTCTGATAAGACTGACAACCCATGAACCAAACCTTGACAGCCCCACGAAGCACCCGAGATCCTCCTAGGACTTGAAAGGTGAAAAGAAGGATATTTGGCCGACAAGAGCTTAGAAATGAGGAGCTGAGGGTGGTGATGAATACGCCAACATTGACGAGCCAACAAAACAGAATTGAAGGACTCGAGACGACGAATACTGAGACCACCCATTCCTCTTGGTAAATGCAAAAGGGACTTCGAGCGTAAAGCTAAACCCTTTGAGTGAGGATCCGACTTCCACCAAAACCGGGCTAAAAGATTATCCACCTTAGAGCAAATTGACGAGGGAACTCGGAATACAGACAAAATATGATTGAACGAGGCGACCAAAACCGAGTTAATGATGACCAATTTAGCAGCCGCAGATAGACCTAAAGAAGCAAAGGCCGATAGACGATGAACCACTTTATCAATCAAGAACCCAAACTCTGCCACCTTGCTCCGCCCTAATTCAACGGGAAAACCCAAGTATGAACCCAAGGAAGGTTTACTCTGGAGTTGCAAACTTCTGGCTAGATATTCCCGATAGTCCCATGGAATATTAGGACTGAATTTCACAAAGGATTTCTGAAGATTAATAACCTGACCAGACAACGAACAAAATTCCGACAAAAGAGCAGCAAGATTGTCACAAGCCTCAGGAGTAACTTGCAAAAATAGGAGAGAATCATTTGCAAAAAACAGGTGGGAGATCGAAGGAGCACCACGAGAAATGCGAATTCCTGTAAAGAGAGAGTCCTTTTCAGCTTTTCGAAGCATAGCTGACAGTATTTCCATGCATAGAACAAACAAATAGGAAGACAGAGGATCCCCTTATCGAAGACCGCAACAAGGCTGAAAAGCAGGAAGAGGATTCCCATTCACTAACACCTGATAAGATACCGTAGAGACACACTGACGAATAATGTGGATCCAGTAAGAGGGAAACCCATAAGCTTGAAGAAGCCGGAACAGAAAGTCCCAATTTACCCTATCATAAGCTTTATTCATATCCAACTTAATCGCAGCATAGAACCGCTTAGTAGCCTTGAATTTGTTCATAAAAGACAGCACCTTGTGTGCAATTAAAGCATTATCCGAGAGAAGACGACCTGGAACAAAGGCATTTTGGAAATCTGCTACCAAGCTGGGTAACACCAATCGAAGCCGAGCTGTAAGACATTTTGCTACACATTTGTAGATGACATTACACAGACCAATAGGACGGAACTGGGAAATAGACTCTGGGTTATCCACTTTTGGAAGTAAAGCTAAGAAGGTACGGTTCCAATCCTTTAGCATGTAACCATGAGCAAAAAAATACTGAACCGCCACCACCACTGAAGGTCCTACAGAATCCCATAAAATCTTGAAAAAAGACGAAGGGAAACCATCAGGACCAGGAGACTTACTACCATCAATGCTAAAAATAGCATTGCGAATATCCTCAGAAGAAAAGGGAGCCATAAAAAATTCCTGTTGCGCAGTGGAAAGAGAAGGCAACTGAAGACTATCCTACCAATCTGAATCAAAAGTAGGAGAAGTCTTAGAAGGAGAGTAAAGATCTTTATAAAAGTCTAGAGTGATGGAGGCTATAGTCGCATTGTCACTATGCCAACAACCAGAAGAGTCCCTAAGCCCTAAGATCTTATTCCGACGCTTTCGAGACTGGACTGAGGAAAACAGAAGACGGGAGTGAGAATCTCCTAACGCGTCCCACTTGAGTTTAGCGCGCTGCTGCCAGAAAATATATGCTGCTTGTGCCTCAGCTATCTTCTCATTTTTAGTGGAAAGAAATAAGTAACGATCACTTCGGGAACAAAGAGAATGAGAAGCTTGCTCAACATCAAAGACTAACTGTTTCCAATTTATACCCCAGACTTTTTTATGTGAAATACACCAAGCTAGAAGACGATCTCTAGAAACTGAAAGTTTCCGAGAGAGAGCATACATAGGAGAACCCGGAAAGAACAAGGAGAGTACGGAAGTGATGATGTGATGAACCTCTACAGCAGACAAACACCAATTTTCTATCCTATAAGGACGCTTAATCGGATCAGGATTCGCCGTATCAGACAAAATGATAGCTGCGTGGTCCGAAAATAAAATAGGTTGGTGAATAAGATTGGTGTCTGGATAGTTTAGAAACCAAGTAGAAGAACCATAAGCTCGATCTAAACGTTCAAAAATAGGATCTGAATCCAATCTGTTATTAGTCCAGGTATAACGAGGACCAGTGAAAGGGACATCTATTAAATTCAAACCAAGACGCCAGTTCATAAAATCCAATTGGCCTGGAATAGAAAAATTCCCTCCAAGTTTATCCGAACTATATTCAACTTGATTAAAATCCCCAATAATAACTACATTTGGAATGGACTCCAAAATATTACTAATCAAGTACCAAATATCCAAGCGATTAGCAACATGAGGCGAGCCATACACAAACATCACATATTTTATTTCATCTCCTTGAACTAATTTACATAAATATACATTCTGAGAACTATAAACAGGAACTACTCCTAATGGAGAAAACCAGCATATAAACAACCCACCACTTAAACCTACAGCATCAATACCACAACAAACCAAAAAAGGCAAAGAGGCTAGCTTTTGAGCAACTTTATCTACAGAAATCATAGTTTCCAAAAGACAGACCATATCTAAACCATGAGAGCGGACTAGAGTAGAAATGTAAGGAATTTTAGGGGAGTCCGCTTGACCTAAGCCCCTAGAATTCCAAAGAGCCACTTTCATCCCGAGTCGGGTGACTTTTCCCAGGAAGTCACCGATCCCTCAGAAGAAACATGAGAAGAAGAGCCAATATTTGCTTTACGCTTCTTGTATGGAAGAAAGCAGGAAAGACAAGTGGAATCCGAAAGAGGTTGATGACATCGGGGATAGGAGGAGCAGAAGGTGAAAGCTGTCCGCCGGCCCTTTTACGAGGCCCATGTTGCTTGACCCAATCCCACAATCGTTCACCACTTCTACGCAACTTAAGAGGAGAGCAGGACCGCAATTTGTCTCCCATCTTGCGCAAAGACTGACAACCTGAACTCTTGGGAGGAGAGTTGACCACCACATCCAAAGTCGGAGGGGAAAATGGTGGAGAACAATCCATTGGAACCGCTGTATCCGAAGCAGAGGAGTCTTGATCCAAGGCAGAAAAATCAGGTTCCCTCGGAGTGTTGTCATTAACAGCATTATCAGTTTGGATATCAAGATCAGGAAGGAACTCAAAAGCCGAAGAAGATGAATCCGCCACGTAACCTGAGTTTTCTGATGTGTCAACTGGAAAAGAAGACGAGAGAGAAGGTGACGGAGAAGACACATCAGCAGGCTGCTCCCAATTGCTCGGACCTACGCCACGTAACCTGAGTGCGTTTGTTTGAGTATATATAAAGTAGATCGATTATTCCTGATTCGATTTAATCATAGAATCGCATAAATTTACAAAAATGCCACTATGCCATTGGTCAGAGAGCTGGTGAAAACTCAAATGTATATGATGAATTATTAATCAATAAAAAGAAGAGAAGACATGACATGTACATTTCGATATCCACACAAAAATCACAAAACATGGACGCAACACGTAAACATTGCATCCCCTAACCTTGATCATCATCACCTCTCATCCTCCCTAAAAACCACCGCAAATGAACCAGAGCACCACCACCAATGCCCCTGCTTCTCTCTTCCACAACAACCACTGCATCTCTCTTCCTTAAACTTACCTCTCCACTCTCTCTCCTCCGCTTCTCAACCATGTCTTCCATCAATCTTCAATCCCACGCATTCGCAGGCAACCCCATTAAAGCCAAAACCCCCAAATCAAATGACCCTTTTTCCCCTAATTCAGCCCTTGAAGCTCTTAAATCTCACCTTTTAGGGAATACCCATGACGTCATTGCCCTTAATTTTAAGGTATTGCCTTTCAGAAAAGGGCGCCCTTTGGCGGGTTCTCAGGGTTCTTCCCCAAATTGGCATCTGGGTTGGCTTAGTTTGGGTGATTGTAAGGGTTTATTGGCTGATTCTTCGGTTAGATTTGAGGGAGATTCGTTGGTTTATCTGGGTTCAAAATCAGAGGAAGATTCTGTTTATTGGGCAATTGATGTTTCGGAAGATGATAAATTGGTGGATGAATTGGGGAAGAAGTATTTCTCTTTTGTTGAGCTTAGGACTTTAATGGTGGCTACTGATTGGTCTGATTCTCGTGCTATGGCTGATTTAGCTGTTGCTGGTCATGTATGTATTCTCTTTCTGCTTATATTACATTGATGATTATTCTTTCTTTGATATTTCTGCTAGTTTGGTTAGATTATATTTGATTGTGCCTTTGTGTTTCAAATTGATTACCATCATTTATAGCTAGGTGACACTTTGAGATGATACTTAATACCAATAGAAGTGACAAATAATTGGCTCGTCCCACCGTCACCTTCTTGTGAGTTGTTTTATATGGCAATGATAATTGTCTCGACGTGATCTTATTGAAAATTGTGATGTAGATGGCTAAGAAGGTTTATTTGAGAATGCAATGCAAAATTGTGTTGGTGTTAGGTTTTGTTAGTTGGTGACCTTGGTGTAAGTGTGAGGATGTCTTATACGTAGTATATAAGGGAATGATTGAATAGAGGTGAAAAGTAGTTAGAATTTCGAAGGTCAGTATTTGTAGGTTCTGATTGCTTTGCTAAGAACAAAATAGCTTCTTTAGGTATCAGAATTAGCTCATGAATTAGTAATGTGGTTGTATCTGTTTAATTTTGACTCAATTATGAATGTGCAAAGATGTATTCTTTAATGAGGTTGAAGATCTATTCTTGGTGGTAGACTGGTAGATGTAGTTGTGATTGAGCGTCTTCTTATTTTCCTTCTTATTATTGGAGATGGAAGAAATATGTTTGATATGTGCCAGGAATGTTAATGATTGTTAAAGAAGAGGAGCTTAAAAATGTGAAATTTTATTCATGCTGGTACAATAGGTGGGTTTGGTATACATGATTGTGGTGAATGGAACACATGAATGACAGAGAAACATGAATGAAGCATTTGTATTGTTCATTTTGAATCTTGAAGCTGGAGATGACTCTTGGTTTCTATTTAATGACATCTCATATTGGGAAGTATTAATTTCATGAGTATTATGTGGGAAGATGTAATATGTATGTAGATTAAAACTGTTAGCTATATTCAGTTCTTTAACTTCACATTTAAACAAGAAATTGTAAATATGTAGACTTAAAGTAAATAGATATGCAAGGCTATCTTCCTCAACTCCGTTTTACTATGGGGTTGGGAACTTGGGATTGAATCTGTTATCTAAACATTCAATGACCAAGTTTGTTCCTTTCAAACGTGCTTGAGTTTCTATCATAGTGGCAGTTATACAGCCTTGCTTTGCCAAAATATATGTCCAGTTACTTTGTGTGACTGCTGACGAATCTAGTTCTTTAGCTCTTTCTATTTGATATTGTTCCTCATTCTAATTCAGTGCATAAGCTAAAAATCATTTATCCAGTACTGGTGAATTCAACATTTCAGTTCTAAACAGCTGTCTTGATTCTCTAGCCTCTTAATTTGTTCTCTTGTTCAATTTCCGTCTAACTATGGTCTTATATTTTCTGCGTCTGGTGTTTGTTAGGCTAGAGCATTGCTTGAATGGCATGGAACATCTCGATTTTGCGGTCAGTGTGGAAGTAAAACAATTCCAAGGGAAGCTGGTAAAAGAGTGCAGTGCTCAAATGAACTGTGCAAAAAGAGGATATATCCTCGTGTTGATCCAGTATGATGATGCCAGTCTCTCATTTTTTATGCAATGCAGAAGCAGTGTTTGAACAAATGGAATTAAATTCTTCCTGTTGTGTGTCCTGTTACCAGGTAGTCATTATGCTCGTGATCGACAAGGAAAATGACCGTGCACTTTTAAGCAGACAGTCGAGATTCGTACCTAGAATGTGGAGTTGTTTAGCTGGTTTTTTTAGAGGTTAGTACTCTGCAGAAATATGATGACTCCATAGCTCATTTGTGCCTCCAATTTTGCGATGTGTGACATTATAAGAATCATTTTCTTCTCCTCTCCTTTGTGCTTTCTGCTTCAGTTACTCTGTACCTAAAATATATGTTAATTAATTACATTTGTCTTAGCCCGGAGAGAGTTTGGAAGAAGCAGTGAGAAGAGAAACATGGGAGGAAACTGGGATTGAAGTAGGAGAAGTTGTCTATCATAGCTCTCAGCCGTGGCCTGGTAAGTTCTTTTGGAGCTGATGTCTGAGTAAAAGTCATCTCCTATTTAACTATTTTTTTATGTTGTCATACTGTAATGATCATAGCAGATAAATTTCTGCAATCAGTTTCTTGTCTCAGCTTAACAAACTTTAACTTTTGACCTTTTCCAGTTGGGCCAAGCAGCATGCCCTGCCAGTTGATGGTAGGCTTCTTTGCTTATGCGAAATCTCTTGAAATAACTGTGGATAAGGATGAATTGGAAGGTATGGTTTGCCACATTTTCTCCTATTTATTGTATTATCTTTCTTTTGCCTTACTCATTTGGACATGAAACTCAAAGTAGTTTGATCTCAATACTTCCTTCATTACTTGATGACTTTTTAGACTACTTATGGGACCTCATTTTATTACTAATAAGTAAAAATAAATGTAACTATTATAATTGTTGTTGGGTTAACCTCAGTATAATTTTAATATATTGACTTTATTTATTTATTTATTTTTTTAACAAAATTAGTTATCAAGAGTCAAAGTTTTCATTGGTAATCATGAAAGTCAACGATTTATGTATTGAGAAATAGAGGAAGTATTACTTAGGTAAGAACTTACAATTAACTGTTCTATACTTGATTAATGGATTGTGAATATCAGCTTATATCTGATCTATTTTACGTCTCTAATGTATGTATGCGGTTGTTTAGATGCCCAGTGGCATAGCAGAGAAGATGTCAAGAGAGCTCTTACATTTGCTGAATACGAGAAGGCACAAAAAACAGCTGCTGCCAAGGTGGAGCAGATTTGCAAGGGGGTCACGCAGAGTCAGAACCTCTCCTCGGACTTCAACACTGAAAGCGGAGAGCTTGCGTCCATGTTTATTCCCGGGCCTTTTGCAATCGCCCACCACCTCATATCTACTTGGGTCTTTCAAGGGGCACCAGTAAGCAGTTCTAACAGTGCACTTAAAGAGCCTAATAGTTCTCTTTCAAATCTGTAGCTGCTAACTTCTTTTCCTCTCCTAATTTATTTTTAATTTGTAGCTTATTGTGATTATTCTTATTTCATCAGAAACAAATATTCTTTGCCTGTGACGTATATCTATAATGATTTTTACGCAATACCACTACCTTCGTTCTTTTTTATTCTACTCACGTGACATCTTGTTGGAATCATTACAATTTGTAGGATCCAAATATCTAATTTTTCATACGCTTGTGCGTAATTAAAGATATTATGGGTCAAACATGTGTGTTGGAGACCGTGCAAAATGCAAGTGAGTAGAACAAAAAAGAATGAAGGGAGTATGATCAAATAGTCCCCAGTCCCCCGCCCCCCTTCCATAATTTCTTCTTCTGTTTATCCCATGAGTCCATGACCCCATGAGCTCTCAATACCAGTCTGAGATCAGGTGGGTGCACTCCCACAGTGTGTCTGTCTCTCGCCTCAGTGATAGATTTCTGATTACAGCAATTAAATACTGATTACAGACTTGAGCCAAATATACCTTGGCACATTGGTGTCCTTACTCTTGGGAACACATATGGGGTTATTGGGTCTCAGCACCTTGTGTAACCCTGAAAGTAATTGAGGACATTGTAGTGAAAAGTTCTTGTCATCAATAACTTACTACGGAGTACATGTTTCTTTCTGTCATGCAACCCTCCCCTATACTCCCTCTTGTGCGAATATGCTTAGGTTTTACTTTGTTAACCTAGAAAACAGGGCATTGGACAACTCTTATAATGGTAGGGAAATTAGTGTCTTTGGAACTCCAGTCAAGTCATATGTTCCTCTGAAGTCTGAAGTATCTGTTTTTAGTATTAACAGTTGCAATTGGCTTTCGTTGAGAATATAGTGTGAGCATTATATTGAGATAGATGAAAAAAATAAAGTGCTGATGTTATTAATATCCAGGAGGAGTATGTCTGTATGTGCCTAGTTCTATTTCATAAGTTTGAGTGCGGCTACATATAAGAAAATGAAAAGTCCTCATGGTGGGTGAATAGACTCATTTAAACTACCTAAATCTGGTCTGTTGTTGCAGCAACATTAAGTCCGTACCCTGTTGCTGCATAATCGAGGCTGTTACGTACTGAAATATGTTACAAATTGACTAGGAAAGAAATTGTAATCATGTCTGATAGGAAAACAAATCACTCTCAATCCACGGATTAATGATTTAACCATCTATCATTCAACTGCTAATAGCAGTCGTTACGGTTTACACAATGACTTGTTGATCGAGGATTAGACAAAATTTACAGTGTACTGCGCAAGTCGATATTATAGTGATGGAATTTGTCACTAGAGCATTCCAATATCAACTTGGCTGCTGTCACATGCCCTCAACGATAAGAAACTGTCTCAATAATTCATACTAAAACAATTTACATCTTAGTTGAGTTATTTCTGCCGTTCACTGAACTGTCACATACCAATAAAACTTTGGACCCCCCAATTCTGGTGTCTCTATCAAGGCATCTATCAAATGTTTTTCCAGAAAATTTGGTTAGGTATATACCAATTACCTATTTTTCTAGAAAAGTAGATAGTAACATGATGACTACAGAGTTTTTTTGTGTGCTGGGGGGGAGGGGGGATGATACCGTGGTTGTAAATTGTAATGACCGTACTGTAACCAACACAGTAACACTCTGTGCTTGGCGCTTGCCCAAATTATAACTACTGTATGTTTAGTACATGACCAGGGGCGAACCCATGAAGGAACAAGGGGGGACCCTTGTCACCCACTTTCGGGAAAAAAAAACAGAGGAAAAAAAATTTAGAAAAAAAAATAAAATTGGAAAAATAGTTATATAAAATTGAGTGTAAGAATAAACAAATTGTTTGCCTTAGCTAAGTTGGTAGTGGGCTAAAAATAGTCAGGGGGCCCAATTTTAGGTTTACCTAGATTAGGGTTCGAATCCCCCTTGTAACATCATTCATTTTTTATTTTTTAGTGTTTTATTTTAAGTTATTTTGACTTTTACCACCCTCGAAAACGAAAAATTTGGTATTACCACCTCCATAAAAAAAAGTTTTATTTTACGACCACATAAAAAAAAAATTGGCTGTTACCACCAATCACCGCCAACTAACGGAAATATATAAATTAATAAATAAAAAAAACGAAACCCAATAATATGGTGACACGTGGACATGATAGGCCCTACTAACGAATTTATGGACAGAATCCGTTAGTTGGCGGTGATTGGTGGTAAAACTCAATTTTCATTTTTTTTATGTGGTGATAAAATAAAACTTTTTTTTTATGGAGGTGGTAAAAACAATTATGCTGTTTTTTAGAGGTAATAAAAATATAAAATTCCTTTATTTTAACCAAACCACTCGACTACTCCATTATTTCTATTTCCCAACCACGAGGCACGAACCACCACCTACGCAACCACGAGTCATGGACTGCAGCAAACATCTTCGGCAAATGTTTGTTAAGAAATTAACATCACAAGATAATATGGCATTCGAATCCCCCTTGTAACATCACTCCTTTTTTTGGGGGGTGTTTTATTTCAACCATACCACTCGACTACTCCCTTATTTCTATTTCCCAACCAAACCCAAATTACTTGTATTGTGTACCCGTTTTAATTTTTTTAAATAGGTTGATGTTAGTTGAATTATCGAAATTGTCCCCCCATTGACAAATTTCTAGGTCCGCCACTATACATGACGGGGTATTTACAGGTCGTAGGGACTTAATAGGAGTCATTTTTGGAACCTTGAAGATTAAAAGAGCAGCAATTTTTGATTATTCGGTACTTATTAATTGATATAGAATTTTTGCTAACTACATCTATTCATTGGAGACTTGGAGTTTGTCCTTGTTCACTAGTAAGGTTTCCATTCTAACTTGGAGTCCATGTGGTCCAGGTAGCAATGAAAGAGTAAAACTATGTACATCCGTGTCGCTGTGTGAGTGCATGTGTAATTTTCTTTCTTATGCTTCTCTTTTACTGCAGGGTTACTGCTTAATCTTTTAAGCCATGCCTTGTGTGTGTGTGTGTTTTTTTTCTAACGCAATTGTTCTTCTGACTATTTACGATTCCAAAAAAGATTCAATAAAAATCATAGAGTTTTTTTTTTTTTCTGCTGGTCTATTTTGTCTCGTTGATTGTTTGATACATAAAACCAAGCATTGAAGTTTGTAGGCCCTTGCTCAGTGATAGTACAAAAGGGCAATAATTTAGATTCCTAATTTCCTATACAACCTTCCAATGTCAATAAAGCCCCCAAAACTTTGGGAGAGTATAAACCTGCCTCATGCGTCTTAATTCTGTATGTTATTTCATGGCTCTGTAATTACTCTTATTTTTAAATCTTGCCTTTTCTTTTATTTTTCTGTGTTTTTAATCTGTAGGAGAAAAGTGTTCTGTTTTTTTATGTGGCTGCACTCTGCAGACAAAAATCATTATCATTAGTGATTGATATTTTATGTACTCCGTATATGTATACCTGATGCTGTACTTGGACTTGGAGTAGGCATGGGATTTTCATTTGCTCCCCCGAGTTATCCCTTGAATGTAGTGAATGACGTAAATAAAAATAAAAACAAGCTGTGCATGATAAGATCACTTCCTTCTTCATCTTTGGTTTCCCTGCAGTTCTCTTCTCTTCCTATAAAAACTGATCAAAACAAGAAAATTACATCAGAACCTCAGAATTGTAACAGTTCCTCAAGTGCTTCTCCCAGTTACAGCCAAGAAAATACTGTTGGAATCATTGGAGGTGTGTCTGTTCTTACCACATTGATCTTTCTTGAGAAGTTTGTGCTATGGAGCTCAAGAGATAAATACGACACTGTCCCTTTCATTGTCTGCAGTGATCCAACATCTCCTTCAAGCCGTGAGTACATTTCTAACACCAATGATGGTAGACCACCTTCTGGATTAGACCAAGTTAGAATGGTTGAGAATCTGAGAGGTAAGAGGTTGTTCCTTGAAGAAGGGGGAGCACGATGCATTGTCATGCCTTGCCATATTTCACATGCTTGGTATGGAGAAATATCACTAGGGAGTAAGCAGCCTTTTCTTCATATGGCCGAGTGTGTTGCTTTAGAACTCAAGGAAGCAAGATTTAGGCCTCTAGAAGCTGGAAGCGGTGTCAAAGTTGGAGTTATAGCAACTGATGCTACCCTAATGGCAGGATTTTACCAGGAAAAACTACAGGACCAGGTATAATTATATTATTTTTGGTATATCAATGTATTGATTTTATTTAGTGCGGCAAAAATTTTTATGTATCTGCTGTTGAATTTCTCTCAAGTCAGATTTTGTAGTGGAGTGTTATTCTTTTGAGTCCTGAAAAAGAACTTAGCCTCTTTTGTCTTCATCAGGCTTGTGCAAAAGATGGAAAACAAAAATACTTGTCCATCTTAGACCAAGTTGAACGAGATTTATAGCTTAGTATTTCAGACTAGATTGAAGGTTTTAGCAAGGTTTCTGCTACTTCATGCAAAAAGTTTTCACAAAGTAGCAAGACATTCAGTTAAACTTACTGATATATTTTGTTTATCCAGTAGCCAGTGTAAGCAGGCATGTCAAACACCAGGTTTTTAGTTCTGTCAACCTAATTTATCAAGTTTGAAGTGTTTTTGTACCAACCCTTAACGAGTTTTTGACGTTTTCACAAAAATTTGATTGTGTTTCCCTAAGTCAGGTGCAATTTTTTGCTTTCTTGTTGTTTGAAGTGATTTTTCAAACTTTCTCATTGGTTTTCAAGATTTAAAGCCAAGTTTCCTTTGATCAGCATTCCTGATGGATCAAATTTTGACCGGTCTATGAGTTAGCTATGTACATCAACCCTTAGACTTCTCCATTGACAGAAGCGTTGTGCTTTTGATTGATGTTCTGATTTTGGTGTGAGTAGGATCCATTCATTGTGCTAAACACAAAAATGAACGTTCCTGAGAATTCTGTCTACTATCTTAATTCTTGACTTTTATTAGCAGTCTACAATGTTGCTATAATGCTATTGACTTCTGAATTCTGACAATTGATACAGGGGTTTGAGGTGGTGTTGCCAGATAAATCAACCATGGAGCATGCCATATACCCGGCTATAAACTCCTTGAAGCGGAAAGACATGAAGGGAGCTCTTAACCTGTTAAGAATCGCGATTCAGCTCCTTCTGGTGAAATCTGTTAACATTGTGATCCTTGCCTCCCATGAACTGCAATGTCTGTTACCACATGATGATCCCCTTGCTAAGAAATGCATTGATCCGATGGATGCTTTGGCAAGATCAGCTGTAAGATGGGCAAAATCTGCAAAAGATACACGAGAAATTTAGATGATATAGAGTTCTTGGTTTCCTAATGATATTAATCCTGTACATTAGTACTTAGGTTCAGCCAACTACTGTAAGATTCTCCTTAGTTCACTTGATGTTGTTGCCTTACTTTTGGACACAAGTACCCTCCACAAAATTTAGAAGTTTAATTTTGAGTTGTGTTTCTTTATTAAGCTATATATACTTCGGTTATTATTGAGGGTGAAGTCTTATCCTTTTCCTTCTCTCAAAGGCCTAATGTATAATTCTAGACTATGTAACTTTGTGAGGAGCCTTAAAGTGATAGCTTATTAACATTCAATTGCTCTAATATCCATTATACAAGTATAAGTAGTTAAATTCCTAACTAAATTTGGTTATACTTTATTTAATTCAAAAATATATTTTTTCATGCATTGCACTTCAGCATTGTTTTATTTATTTATTTATTTAAAGTGAACTTATAAACAAGTGTGTCTAAATAAAAAGTTAACTTATAGATACAAATTAAGTCGTGACTCTTCCCTTTATCCTTATTTTCGTAGTCAACCAACTTTTCTTACACAACCAAATAACCAATGTTTATTTGTAGCTATGCAAGTCACTATTCGTGGCTCCAAAACGGATTTCTTGTTACATCCATTTGAAATCTAGGAGTATGGTAGAGTAGAGGCCTTTTATTCTCCACCGTGGCTTCTACCTTGCTATGGCTAATGAGACCCGTAAAATTCACTTAGAATATCACCATTTGCTTGTTTTCAACGTTGTCCTTTATAAATTGGAACCGTTGTGAATTGAATAATGTCTAACATGATCGAAATTGTCCATAAAATCTTTCAATGTTTTGATAATTGGCAAGAATCACCTAACTCTTCAAGAAACTAATTGAACAATCAATCGGATAACCTCAATAAAATAATAGATGTCATTAGACTTCCCAGGTAAGTACATTTGGTTGTTGACTTCTTGTAATTATTCTTTCATAAACTCTATACCATTTTTAAAATATAATATGTTCAGGTTAACCTCAAAAGATTTTTTTTTTTTTTTTTTTTTTTTAAGATCAAAAGAAAAAATTCTTACCATACCATTCCATCAAAAAAAAAAAAAAAAAAAAATCATCTAGACCTTCCACGTAACACTCTCACTCTCCTTATTGGAGTAGTAGATTCTTTTCTTCTTCTTTCTCGACTTTGTCGTCTTCTCCAAATTTGAGCTCTTAAACCCTTGTTTTACTCTTCTCTGTGAATTTGTGATCTGAGAAAATGACATTGTTCTTCAGAAGATTAGCAAAATCAGCTCCAGTTGCATTATCCAATGCATTTAAGGGCTATCAAAACTCCAATTCTTACACCTCTCGTAACCCTTTTGGAGTAGTTGCCGCTTCAATTTCTGGAGGAATCTCACTTTATTACCTCACTTCTTCCCCAAATTTGGTAAATTTTCGGCTTTATTTCATCTGGGTTTTCCTTCAATTTCTCAACGCTTGTAATGCTTCTTATTTTTTGATGATTTTCTTTTGGTATATTACTTTGTTTTTCTTTGATCGAATGAGGGAGGTTTTTAATCTCTGATACTCGTATTTGGTTTTGAATGGTAATTTTATGATTATTATCATTTTAAGTCGAAATGGATTAATGGGTCAATAATTGTTGGTAGGTAGGCTGTTCATCAAATTGGTTGTAGGTATCATTGTTGTTTGCAATTGCAGCTTCTTTGAATTTGATATTGCTGATTAATTTGTTTTGCTGTGATAGTGGTATGATTGTATGAATGTATGGTAATGGTATGTTGGTTTTATAGATTAATATTCATTGATACTTAATTGATTAGTGATGATGGAACTGTTATCTATGGTGTGTTAGGTTCCAATTTGGATTTTGGATAATTTGTTGGGAGCATCTGGGTGTATTTTTTTTATTGCTGTCGAAATGGGTTGTGGCTCGATAATTTTGGATTAATTTGAGGGATTTGTGGAGTGAATCCTATAAGTAGTAGATAGTCAGATACTGAATTTCGATTATCCATGCTTATGTTGTTGTCTAACCCCTTTGATTGGGACCGTACTTGGATGATTCTCTACGACCAATTTTGCTAGCCTTTCATTTCTTTGGTTGTATTTAGGGCTTTTGATGTGAAGCTTTTTGTTCATCATGTCAAATTCTGTGGTGTATACGTTCGAATAGGTTACTTATTTCATTTTGCACATTCAGTATGCTAGTTTTGAGAACCAATATAAATAAGATTTGAATTTTTTCTTTTTTCTTTTTTATGTTTTGTGGCCAAGTCACAAATTAGATTTTACAGCTCTACCATTATGTCTTTGCAGGCTCATCTGGATTCAATCAATGAAGAAACACAGAAGAAAGTAGGTGAGTTTTCTTTTTACCATTGCTTAATTAGTGTGATTCTCAGCCTCTGCTACACTATGAATTTATTTTCTCTTCATGTAATCATGTTAGATCATTGATTGTTTACGGTGAAAGAATGTACAAATTACTCAACAAGTTTTTATATACTCAATTTAGTAACTTAAATGGCTATAAATACTTTTGGTATTTCTTTCCACCTCCCCTTCCTATTATTCACTGTTTTCATTTAAGGTTTCTTGCCTTGTTCAACTCTTTTATCTGCCCCACTGTCTACCCCTTCTTCTTACAGAGAGAGGAGAACGTTGAAAGGATTTTATTTTTTTTATTTTTTTGAATTTTTGAAAAGGTGGAAAGGATGTTTTTAATTCATCATATATAGAGGCAAGCAAGTGGTCAGTGCCGTCAATCTGATCTTGGCTTACATGATAAGTCTCAAAACCTTAATTGATCAATCAATCAATCAAAGCCTTAATCCCATAACCCAACCTTGATTGATGATTATTTATTTATTTATTTTAACAATGATTTTTCTCCTAGCTGTATATATCTTTGACTGAAAACTTGTGTAATTTCCAGCACTGAATCCAGATAAGTGGCTTGAGTTCAAACTGCAGGAGAGTGCAACTGTCAGCCATAATACTAAGCTCTACAGGTTATACTCCTGTTTAATGCATGTTAAAGTTTCTTTTGCTTTTGATTCTTTTGATTTATTAAAAGTGTTGAATAATTTCTTGTAATGAGGCTGCTATATAATTTTCTTCTGAATCTTTCAAAGATGTGACTTTGACACATTAATGGTGCTTGAGAATTAATATTAGAGGAAAATTCTTATGGCCTTTTGACATCTGATACAGTTGTAAAGTCATATAATTGGTGTTCTGAAATTGTAGGTTCTCATTTGATCCTGAAGCCGAGTTAGGTCTTCACATTGCTTCTTGCCTCCTCACAAGGTACATTTTCTATTCCTAAATGTATGATCTACTCAATGACCTGTATTGCCTCCAGGTTGTAGCATTTTAGAATAAGTTTTTTCTTGCCTTGTGATACCTTTTAAATCTACGCACTTATATTCTTAACAATCATGCTTCTTTGTGTAGAGCTCCCACAGGGAAAAATGATGAAGGGAAAACGAAATATGTCGTTCGACCGTAAGTTTCTTCTTGAGCAAAACATGATTATTATGATTTCTTCTTCCATTATCTCTTCTGCCTTTGTGTCTAATAGAAATATATAGTCTAGTATGACACAGATGAATCATCATAATTCAGAAACTGCTTTATTAATTTGTTTGTCTAGCTATACATCCAACTACAGCTTGCACTTACATTCTGTGTACCCATTGACATGTACTTGAACTTAATTAGTCTCTTTTTGTAAATATATGTATCCTCACTTATAGAAATATTGGATATGTAAAACTTGTTTTCTTGTAGCACCACTAGTTATCTTTCTTTGTCTTGGTAATAATTCAAAGGATAATAACACATACCAACACTTCTATTGTAAATCTTCATCTGCTTGTTGGGTCATAAACACCACATTGTCATGCAGGTTGAGCATCCTAAATCTAAGATTAAATCAAACATATAATTAGGATTGCTATCTTCTCTACTGTAATCTTTTTGTGATAGTTTTCGCTTACTGGAACAAATTATATAAATTGAGATGTGGAAGCCTTTTTCCGTTAGAGAGTTCTCAAAGTTGGTGTCTTTAGTTTTAAGTAGTGAACAGAGATTGGAAGGAGGCTTCATCTACAACTCTGGTACTACTATAATCAATTGCAGCATGTTAGCACACTTTCCACATTGTTGCAGTACTATAACGTTAAGGCCCTTCTGTGCAAGAAGCTCTGGAAAGTTTTACCCGTTATAGATTCTCTATAATAGTATGATCCCATAGTGTGGTAGTGTTGCATGCATAAATTTGCTCGACTTTCTTTTCCACTGAGGGAATTCCTCTGTTGGGTACATGTTTAATAGTGTAATTGTTTGGTAGCACCACCTGGAAATTGCAGATATCCTGTGCTTCTGTCTTTTCAGGTTCACATTTTGGTATAATTCATGAAAACTATATCTGAATTCCTGTCCATGACAAGTCTAGTTTTTCTATGTTAGAGGTTTTTTAAACATGGCTATCAAACCAATGATCAGTGAAAACATGTCATTCGATGGAATGTCGTATTTCTCTGTCTTACTTAAAGGTTGAATGGATGTTTTTTTTTTGGGGGGGTCTACGACTTTGTATTCCTGATTTTTTTGCGAATTGTTTTCAGGTACACTCCCATTTCCGATCCTGATTCCAAAGGGTACTTTGATTTAATGATCAAGGTCTGTCAACTTCTATCGTAGACTTGTTTCCTCATTTTATTATTTAGTTGTTAGCTAACCACTCTGTTTGTTCAAATACAGATATATCCAGAAGGTAAAATGAGTCAGCATTTTGCAAAACTCAAACCTGGTGATGTTGTAGAAGTCAAAGGGTAAGCTGCTCCACCATTTTATTAGTGTTGTTTAGGATTTCAGTGCAGTTATTGATCAAGTTTGCTTATTTGAATTCTTGTGCAGACCCATTGAGAAGCTCAGGTATACTCCCAACATGAAGAAACACATCGGCATGGTAAGAAACACACCGGCTTGGAACTTTCATGCTAAGTGTATTTGAGAATTTGTTAGATCTGACAAATGAGAGTAATATTACCATTTTATTAACTTTGGCATTATCATGGTGGTGGTAGCTTTGCCCTTTGCCTATGGCATCGTCTGAATGTTGAACCAATTGGAAACTCGATTTGTATATAACTGATGATTTGCCTGAGTACTAACACTTAAAAGTTTGGGTGGTGGTCCTTGTTGTGAAGATAGCCTCATTATCTACATCTTCAGTCAGTACTACTGCGAACCAATCGAGACTTGGGTTTTCACTAGTGTCGGTGGGTCATGGTTGCTGTGAACTCTCCAGTATTGAGCCTCTTGTCCTTCTTCCTTCATTTTATAATACTTATGTTGAAAGTCTTAAATGAATTGGCCATCGCAGGAAGCGAGGGGGGGGGGGTCATATAGTTATGCAAGATCATGTTTTTGGTCAGTGTCATTGTTTCCTTGGAAAATTCTATCAAATTACCTACGCCGCCTGCTGATAGAGGACTCAGGACTTTGCCTTACTTTTAATTAAATGTTGTAAACTCTTTGTTTAAAAGTATTCTGTGGGATGATGTTTCGTATACTCCCAATTGGTGTCCAGATTGCTGGTGGGACTGGTGTCACTCCAATGCTTCAAGTAGTTGAGGCTATTCTGAAGAATCCAGATGATAAAACTCAGGTTAGCTACCTTTTGCTTTGGTACTATGTATAAAATTTGTTTCAGCATTCCTTTGTACGAAGAAATATTTGAAAAAAGGGCTAATAATTTCATAATATTGTCAAAAAAAAAAAAAAAAAAAAAAATCCAACATCAATGTTATTATGAATCTGGATTTTCATAGTTATTAGCTATCAATTGATCTTACAGGTATCACTGGTCTATGCAAATGTCTCTCCTGATGATATTTTACTGAAGCAAAAGCTTGACATACTTGCCACTAGCCACCCTAATTTTAAGGTACTGTTGTTTGATTACTGATCAAATTCTGTCATCAAATTTGACAAATCAGGATGCTGAAGGTTTCAATGAAATAATATTTAGGTATTCTACACTGTTGACAATCCATCAAAGGACTGGAGAGGCGGAGTAGGCTATGTCTCAAAGGATGTTGTCACAAAAGGCTTACCTGGTCCTGGGGACGATACTCTCATCATGGTAAGATAAAGATAGCTCTTTCAACTACTAGTCATTGGTTTTTGAATTTCCATCTACAGCAGGTGAATTGAAGCCTTTATTCCTTTCTCTCTCATTTTTTGACTTTCATCTGCTCTTTTAAATCCAGGTATGTGGTCCTCCTGGTATGATGCAAAGTATATCTGGTGACAAGGCTAAAGATTACTCACAAGGAGAGGTATGGAGTATCAAAAACACTTCTGTTGCTACATTAATTGTCTAACATTTACAGAACCTAAACTCGCCTTAGACTCCTAGTTTAGATTTCTAATCTCTCCATCCTGAACTTATAGGGCGCATTTTTAGTGTTAACAAGCTGGAAATTACACCATAACTATCTACAAGTATCATCTATTGAATTTTTACTTTGAGATGACCTAATATGGATTTGTGCCCTATTATTTTGTGGGCGGAATCAGTATATGCTTGAGCTGCCTAAGGTCTTGCTGCATGGTGTTGCTAATTTTCTACAATAACCAACTTCAGTATTCCTATTTGGTGTTGACTCAAGTCATCATTATTGATTCATAGCAATGGTTTCCTGTTTTGCAGGTAAGTGGAATACTCAAGGAACTTGGATATACAAAAGAAATGGTCTACAAATTTTGAGGGATCCTGCAAAATTACAGAAATAGGAAAGGAATTTGGATAACATAGTAAGCATCTTGTAGCTTGAAGGGCACAAGTTTGTTATAAGTAGGAAATAATTTGATGAAGGTGCTCTGCTTTTATGGGTTTCGTGCCTTGGAGAAATGGACACTTGTTTTCTGCGCATTCACCAAACTGAAGAAACATTTGTAGGGCGTTTTTCAAGCTCTATTGTTGAAATGAAATGAGTATTGTTGGCTCATTTTGTAGATTTTCTTACATATATGTGAATGTGATAATCCACAAATGAATTGGGGATTTATTTCATAAAATTCAACAAGATACTACCCCTTCTTTTGAGTTTAAAATTGATAATGAATTAAATATGCTTTGGGATAGTTTTCATTTGCTCTTTGGCAATTTATGTGACGTGGCGATTATTATTTTTTTGATTAACGGGGGCATTTGGAATGTGGGAGTGGGAGTTTGGGGATTAAAAGGTGGGAATGAGATTTGGAATTAATTGATGGGAATACATAAAAATATGTTAATATCTTGTTTGGATAGTGGGTGGGAATATATAGGGAATAACAATTTTTGTAATACCCTTGTTAAAATTTCTTTTTCTTAATGGCAAAAATGTCATTTGGTATCTATTTTCATTCTCATTCTCATTCTCATTCTCATTCTCATTCATTTATTATCTACTCTCCCTAGGTAATACGAGTAAAATAATGAACACCCTCTAGTGGTTTTAATATTGAACACTTCAAATGGCATACATGGCTTGATGTCTAATATTTACAGATGGTACCTTGGTTCATCACAAGGTCAGCCCTCCTAAATAGAAGCTGCAACCTATTTATAAAATCACAACATATATTATACTACTATAACCTCAATGATGATTCAGGTGACCTTCTACACCATGTATCCTTCCTTTTTCTGGCAGTGATTGTAAACTGTGTTACATAAGATGATGTTCAACAATGTAAGCAACACGGTAGGCCGTGTTACATAACATGATCATCAAAACAATCTTAAAATTGGTTGTTATTATCAAACAAACAATTACACAAAGCATAAATTAGAACCAAGAGCAAAGAATCGACTCAATTTAATTTCAAAACAAATTGTTACTACCTCCGTTACATATTATTTGCAACGATTTGACATAAAAAAGAGAAGAAAAATGTCTAATCGTTGCAAATAATATGTAACGGAGGTAGTAATTTTCTAGAAGATAATATTTGTATATAAATAAGCATATTATATCCATATCCCATAAATAAATATATAAATAAAAAAAAGCATATTATACTTATACCCATAACTACTACTTGTACTTATAAACTTTCTTGACTAGAAGAGTGATGTCATTGCTCTTATTGTCAAAACTAGGGTTGACACCAAGAAATTGTGGATTGTCTTTTCAAGACAACATTTTCATATAACAATTCGCTTTTAAAAGTCGATACTTATTAATAGAGTACCGCTGTACCGGTGAAAATAATTTTAGTTTCAATTAGTAAAAATAATTTAGTTTTATACTCGTACAAAATAAAGTAAAGTAAACATTACATAAACATAATTGTCAATTAACGAAAAAAGAAAAAACACGGATGAACGTAACTACCTACGGCCCTACCACCACCACCACCACCACCACCACCACCACCTCCTCCTCCTCTCTCGGTTCCCCATTGAAGCGCACTCAACGTTCTCCATTGAAGCAGCTTACCAGGTAATTTGTTGTTTCTATTTGTAATCATCATGTCAATTTCACAATCTAGGGTTTATCGTTGATCTAATACGGAGTATTATCTAATTGTCAGTGTTTTAGGGTTCGAAAATTTTAACTATTGCTTCTAATATAACCTTCGATTATGTTGTTAGAAAAGAAAATTATAAAGCCTAATTTAATAATTGAATCAATCACGCCTTTACTCCCTCCCTAATATATTGTGGTTTTTGTGGCCTTATTTGACAATTGAATCAAATTTGGTTGCTAATGTGTTGCAAAACCCTTTCATATTTGAATTGAACTATGAAATTACCTAAAGTTGTGATCTTTTCATTTTTGTTTCTCTTCTGATGTTTTTTTTTTTTTAAAAAATTTTTTTTATATTAATTTAGCCCCTGCCTACAAAATTCTAAATCAACTTTATCTCATTAATAACTAAAAATAACTTTCCACTTTGTTGATGGGTTGATGATGACACAGAATAATCAAATTTGGTTCATATAGCCGACCCCACTAATGATAAGCCTTTGATTGATTCTAAAATGCTAAATTGTGGCCATATATTGACTACTTGTCTTTGAACCTATAAAGAGTATAAACTAAAAATCCTCCTCTGAATTGAATACATGATTCCATATTTATATTTGTTAATTAATTAAGTTAATCGATCTCCATTATATTGATATGATATGATACGATAGTAGTGATAACAGGTTGAGATGGATAATGATCACTTCGTCAAAGATGGAATTGGTCACTCGGGAGAACCTGTAAGGCAATTTGCTGAATTGTTTTCGGTGAGGATTAAACATGATGCACTCGAGAAATTTCGAGTCTATGGTACCATATTTGTTGAAGATAACGAGGGTAATTTCTGCATCTTCAATCGACAACAACACTTGAATCAACAACAACAAGATGATGATGCTGATCTAATAAATGGTACCTTGCCTCTAACTTTTAAACGGCCAATCCGTGCTAGATCAATTTTTACTCTTGCTTTTGATCTCAAAGATGAAGATGGTAATACAATTAAGGACAAATTTGTTGCAAAATTAGTAACACAGAAAAATGGCAATTTTAATAAATTGGGTGTTGATCGTATGTTTGGTAGTATGGGTTGTGCAACCATATATTACACTTTTAACCAAGCAGCAAATATTTATGCTATAAAGGATTCTATTTTTATGAAACACAGCTTTGATTCTGCTAACTCTGAAGGTCACAGTTGGGTTTCCGGAAAGATTGTTTTTCAGTATGGAAGGCCGTTTGATTCTCGGTCTCGTTCTCTTGCAACCCAAGACTTGGAGGACGATTGTCTTGATATTGTGCTATTTAACGCGGCAAAGCCAGTGCCATTGGTAGTGGATGAGACGGGTTCTTGTTACAAGTTTCCTCTTCTTAGATCACACCTGGTTGTGCCGCATAGCAACTCTTTAATCTTCAAATTCGACTTGGTTTATTCTGATAAAGGCATGGTCAAATGTATTCAATTTGATAAAATCATTCCGATGTTAAACAGGTTTTGGATGAACCTTTCTGACAAGGAAGGAGATGACATGCTTATCAAGTTGTTATTAGAATTCCAAGTATGATGTACTTTTGTGTTGTATAATTATTGGTTATTTGACCTAAGTTAGAGACTCAGTTATTAGAATTTCAAGTATTATGCACTTTTGCGTTGTATAAGTATTGGTTCTCTGACCTTAAGTTAGAGACTCGGTTATTAGAATTCCAAGTATTATGTACTCCCTACCTTTTGTGTTATATTTGTATTGTCATTTACTCATTTTGTCTTTAAAATGTGTCTTGTATTAATGTAATGTATTGTTATTATTCAGTGTTGATTCGGTAGGAAACTTTGTTTTTCCTAAAAAAAATAATCTAGCTGTTAACACTCCAGGGAAAAAAAAAAAAAAAAAAAAAATCGGTAACAAGCCATCTGCAGCAGAAGTACAACATCTACAATGTACTGTATTATTATTCAATGTCAATTCATCTGCAATTCTGCAGCAGTACAACAGCTACAATTGAGTTGGCAGCAGCTTGTGCTCTAGAGGATGCATTGATTATTTTTAGGTGAAAGGGTGGCAAGGTTGGAAAATGAGACCTAGTAGTTTCGTTGTTCATGTGTATGAGATTGATTCTATACCATACCATTACAGCCTCTAAGATGATCAGGGCGGACCTATTGGACCATTTATCCTTCCAATCCGATTTAGACTCCTAATGCAAGCCGAATTTTTGAAGCGTAACACTGATTGTGTCTATTTCTTGGCCTCTCCTTTCACATGAAAGAATGTTCATTTTTTTCATAATTTTTAGACTGAAGAGCAGCACGAGTCAGAGAGGGTACCCTGTGCCTGCCTTCTCAATATCAAAATTGTAACTTAAGCTATCTAACTATGTGTTTGTTAATTTTAACAATTAGCGCTTTGATGCTCAGTTTATTGTTCCTGTATGTAATATTAATACTTCGTATTGGTTATGTTATAATATAAGTACTTCGTATTATTTATGTTGTAATACAAGTCTTCCATACTTGTTTATCTAGAACCCCTTACCATTTTCACTAAGATTTCAGCTGATGTACTGCCTCTAGTTATTCTTTTGATTAAGTTTCAGTACTCTTGATAGTTTTATGCAACATAATGGTGCAATACTATTTGTTGTTAAAGCCAGATCATATGTGGTTGTATTAGCAAAAAATAAAATTGATTATGTCATGCCAAATCTTAAGATAGACATAATTACCTTTCATATGATAAGTCACTTTTTAGATGATATAATTATCTTTTGCAAGATTGATATAATTATAACCGTTCAAATGATATAATCTATCAATTACATACTACTTGTTTCGGGGTTTTCTGATGTCCTGCGGGAGAGTTACAATTCTGAGACTGGAACCGGACGCCTGTACCTACAAAACAAACGGATGCTCCGGACAATTGGAGATCCGCCTCCGACGGTCAAGTTAGTACTTGATTAAGGAGTAATTAATGCGGAAATAAAAGTAATTGGGTTTCTCTAGGTGAGAGTGTTAAATGTGCGTCCTCTCCCTTAATGAGGATTAATGGGCATATTTATATGCCTTGGGATGCGTGCCAGTACTAGGTTTAGGTTAAACCTAAGGCTGACTGGGCCTCCCACAATGATTGGGCCTTGTTGGCCGGTTTTCCCATTTGGCATGGGTGGACACGTGTCACATTGCAATTGGTCCAAGGAGGACGAATCTCTTGATGACACGTGGCAGGCTCCTATTGGCCTACATGAAGGACACGTGGCGAAACCTGGCTGGCCCACGTGTCGGATGCTGATTGGTGGATAAAAATCCCCTAATCATTTGCCCCTCACAGGTGGCACGTGACTGGTCACGTGTTACCTGTGACAGGTGACGACCTGCTACAGGTGTCACTCGGTGAAAGGCCGAGAGATTCTCCCGCCTAAATTTTGAATTTTGGAAGTGACCCTTCGCCTTCTCACTTTGCCTAATAAGGGTGTGTTGGCTTCAATCATTTTCACACTTGAGAACTTTTTAGAGAGAACATTCGGACCCCTGAACTTGCTCTGACATTCCGGACTCTTTCTGCCTACCGCCTGCTTTGACAAGCCGGCTACTCAGGATTTTCAGAACTCCGTCAACTTCACTCGTTCAGGTAACCGTCGGTTCTCTTACTCTTAATTTTCTCTTAATTTTATTCTTTTTTGAAATGGCACCACGGAAGCACACGACACGACCTAGGTTAGTGATCAGCCGGTCACCGGGGACGGCTGAATCTAGGACTAGGAGTGCCGCCTGCCCTTTTCCGGACCCATCTTTGCCCTTTATACAAAGTCCGACTGTCTCTGTGTCTATGCAGAACATGATGGCCAGAACAAAAAGAACTGCTAGGATCTCGAACTCAGACGGCTCCTCCCACAGGGTGCCGATTAGTGAAACATCTGACCAGGCGCCAGATGTGGAAGTGAACCAAGGCGGCTTGACAGCCGACAGTTCTGAGGGAGGGGTCAAGGTGACCCCTTCCAATTTTACAGTTGACATGTCTACATTTTCTCCTACTCCTTTTGAAGGAGAGAAGGCGGGCCCCTCTGGGAGAGGGGAGGAATCGTCCTCTTCGGACTCGTCAGAGGACGAATCGGAGTCTAGTTCTTCTGGTCATGCTTCTCTGGACACGGAAGAGAAAAACAACCGTCTACAAGAGGCGAGGCTTTCTCACGCAGTTGAGAAGGGGGACAATTGGGCGGAGCCATCCGCCTCTTACCGAGAGCAAAATACCCCTTACTACTGCACTGTCCCACGGGGCCGGATCACGGCCATGCAAGAGAGAGTGGGGAGCTTTATTGCGAACCACACAATGGGCCCCGGCTTTTTAGTTTTCGTGCCGGATCCAGAAGACACAGTCGTCTGGCCGGCTGGTACTAGTTATGATAGCGCCTGCTTTGGCTGCTACGAGGCGGCCATCAGGGCTGGGCTGCGCTTCCCACTACATCCGGCTGTTCAGCGGATCTTGGATGGGTATGAGTTGGGGTTATGGCAGTTAGCCCCAAACTCCTGGGTCAACGTACTCGGCTATGTGGCCGGGTGCGAACTGCACGGGGTGGAGCCAAACTTCGAGGCTTTCGCCCACATGAACTACCTCAGCCGGACCCCTAAGGCAGGCGGTACCGGCTGGTATCAATTGACGAGCCACAGAGGCTACCTCATGACAAGAGGTAAAGCAAACAAGTGGAAGGATTGGCGAAGCACCTTCCTTATCATTGAAAGTTCAGACACAGAGCTGAACAAGCACTTCAACAGGTGGAACAGGAATCCGCCTCTTCTTGCAGGCGGCCGCAGCATGCCGCCTGTTCCCCCCAAAGCCAAGAAAGAGATCCTGGATAAAGGACTCTTTAAAGTAGAGTCGAGGGTCGACTCTACTACAGGGGTACGAGAGCAAGTACCCCTGCACTGCGTCCCGAGCTTCAAATGGCTCTATGACGAGTACTTTCTGGCCGCCTGTGGCCTTAGCAGTCGGTGTTCAAGAGGTAGCCGGCCTGTCGAATACTCTTTTTTTCCATGAGTTACCGTTTATCTTTTTATTAACTTGGTATCTTGTCTTTGTAGCGGACGCCATGAGCAAGATCACCGCTTCCAAGACTGCGGCGGCCATGTTGCGAGCCTCTATTATGCAACAATCCTCAACCGACTCCCCCAACAAGGGGGCGCCCTTGGTGAGCTCCGAACCTTTCACTCTCTTTTTGGAGTTGGGTTTATGCATATACTGACCGAGTTTTTTTTTTTTCAGACGGGAACTCCAAGAACCTCTTCTTCCCAACAGCCGGACTCCAAGACCCGGAGGACGACTGTTGCGAGCTCTCCTGGTACTGCCAGGAAACATGCGGCGGCTGAGAAACAGCCGTCCACTCCTTCTAAAACTCCAATCAGGCCGCCTAGAAGTATGAAGCTGTCCTTGTGAATTTAGACTTGCTCCCTTCTTTACTAGGTCTAACCCGTTTGTTTATGCTTGATGCAGCCGGCCCTCAGGAGCCAGACTTGGTCGAGGTGGCCAAGTCTATGATCAAAGCCGTCCCTCCGGCTGAGAGGGAGGCGGTCAGGGGTGTCGGCACCCTTGACCTAGACGGGATTGCAGGGGTCCTTGCTGAGGTATACTTAGCATATTTTTGGTTATTTAAATTCCAGGACGCCTGTTTTTTGTTTGAAAACTGACGCCTGTTCCCTTTTACTTAGGCCCTGCTCCGAGTGAACGGCCTTCGCAAGCCGCTTGACAGGAAGAACAAAGAGGTAAAGGCTGCAAAAGCTATGGCCGCCTCTGACTGTGATAAGGCAATGTTTCAAATTGCCCAAAATGAGATTTTGATAACTGATATTCTTTATTATCAGGCGCAGGCTACTTCTGCTATCCGGGCTCAGTTGGAGGCGGCCCAGAAGAAAAATAATGAGCTGGAGGCGACCATCAACAATCTCAAGGCCGAGCTGAGACCTCTTCGCCAAAAAATGTCCTCATACGACACCTTGGAGAAATCCTTGGCACACGTTAAGGAACGCCTGGTGAACCAGGAGAAGAGTCTTACTCAGGAGCTCTCGGCAAAGGCCGAGCAAGAAAAGAAGGAGCTGGTCCGAGAGATGATGGAAGACTCTGCTCAGATCCAGCGCCTGACCTGGGGCCGCCTCTTCCCCAATGCCGACTTTTCCTCATGGGAAAAAACGTACCGCCAGTGTTCTGATAGATATAATCAAGAGATCCTGGCGGCTGCTGAGGACGAGACGTTGGAGGAGGAGGAGCCGGTAGTGGCGCTTGTGCCGCTTGGGGTGGATGCATCGAAGAAGGATGCAGCTGAAGCCGAGTCCAGCAAAAAGAGTGATGACCAGGCGGCAGCTGCTATTATTGAAGATCTGCCCCCTTCTTAAGCTTTATGTATTCTTTTTACGGCCTGCGTGCCGTTTGTTTCTGTTTCCCCGGCCAGGGGGCCGGGGTTTTGAATATTTTGCCGGTCTTAATGACCGGCTTCTTTTTGTATCTTTTACCCGGCCAAGGGGCCGGGGGTATGAATATTTATGACGGTCCTTCTGGCCGGCTGTTAATATAACTCAGGCGACCATTATTTTAGGTCGCCTTTTTGCCAAAATGTTTTGAATTTGTTTCGTTTCGAATTTGTTTCGACTTTGCTAAGTATCGAAACTCTGATATCCAATTGCATACTATACCGACTGTTTTGCATGGCCGATAGTTGCGGACAGGTACGAGGTAGTTAGTCACGCCACCTATGCCCCTGGACGACTAGTTGTCTGTTTCCAGGCTAAGCGATCAGTCGGCCACTTTAAAGACTGGATCCCCT